AACTTCAGCCGAGAGCGGTGCGCGCGACGTCACCTTCGACCTTATAGCGTCTTCGGTGGAAAGCCGATACGCCTCTTGCTACCTCATTCTCTTGCTACGATTACTATAGTATAATAAACGGATACTTTTTCAACGTATCGAAGCATCTATAATTGTCGAATAATTGACATTAAAAAATAAATAAACTACGAGAGACGACACGGTAGATGACAAAATTATATCTATGAAAGAGTCTCTTAATTCGAAAGATCTCTTTTGAGTTAATTTTACATCCTTCTATCTAGTGCGGAATTATCCAAGAAAAAATGGAATGTGTGAAAATGGCTTTTTCACATGCTTTAGTCATGGTATATTTACATCTTATATAGCTTTACATACGCCTCGCAAAAGGATGCTTTAATCGCCCTCGGCCATCACTGTTCCATCAACGCGTCATCCCTTGTTTGGCCGCATGGAGCTCGACCTAGGGAGGGTGAGGAGGGGGAGGGATGGTATGAATTCCAACACTCGCTCGTTTATTCGTATCGGTAAAACGTGGTTTGCGCGAAAATGGGTGCGGGCCGTAAGTTTGGCAGCTCATTTTATCCCGTCCGCAAACGTAACCCGTCGGCGCGGCGGCGCGCGGACGAAGAGAGATGTTTCCCGGACGTTCCCGGACGGTTCGCCGACGCGGTGCGGTATGAATACGTATAAGGCTGTACTAAAGTTGGCGCCGGGACGCTATGATGCGTCATAACGGCGGCCGGCACGCATACACGGGCTCGTCCATCCTAAACGCGAGGAAATGCAGCGGCGCCGTAACTTCAACTCGCGCATCACCCATACATTCACGTTGCATATAATTTACATAATGAGCATCCATCTGCCTGGAAACGTTCGCTTGAAAGGGGTCGGGACGAAAGTTAAACGCGTCTGTGCCCTTCGTCCAAACGTAGTTCCCGATGTTGCTCGATCCGTTCCGTTTGTGCATACCGGATACGGTCAGGCCGTGCGTGCAATATACCGCTCAACGAATTGAACGAAATCTGAACCGAGCTCATGTAAAAACACCTCTTCTCGAATCTAAATTGAATTTAGATTTTTTTAATCCAGATTGAGAATTATCCTGTTCAGCATTGGGCGAAACCGTTTTTTTTTTTAACATACTATATCGAATTACCGTCGAATTATAATATCATCCAAGGATATTTTTTTACTGATTGATGATTTATTATTTCGTTAGTTTTGCGAAAATTTAATTTGAAATATATTCAATTTTAGATTTTTAAAGCAAAATACTGTTAACATTTTACGCGGGAATATTTGATCGGGGGCAAATCGGGAAATTCGTGTACCTTTCTAATTTAACTCAACGTTAATTGAGCCCACGCACTATGGGGTATCGTATATTTTATGCGTTCATATTAGTATTGTGGAATTAACGCGGGGATCAGCCCGTCGTACCGGTTATGGCACTTTGCGATCGACAGGCAAACAAATCTGAGTTACGACAAGCGACGTCGCCGTACGTGTTACCTTCGTTTACACAGCTTTCCAATCTGTCGAGCTGTTCGCAATTTTCCATCGGAGAGTTCTCGCGTATCCCGTTTACATCCACGGGACGCGGGACATAAGCTCGTTTCCACCTAAAAGGACCCGGGCCCTCTCTAGCGCACGATATGAATACGTATAAGGCAATATTAAGCTTCGCATAGGGCTATCCACCGCGATACATATATCCCTTCTACCTCAACGAAGCGTACAAGTGGATGGGATATATGTATATCCCCGTACGCGTAAAGCCGGCCTTACAAATCCTTTTCCCCTCGCTGCATATCATCTTTTCTTTGCGTCCATATTTCTAATATGGATAAAATGGTTCAATGTTTCGTCTTACATTTAAATTTATATTTTCGAGCTAAGTAATTGAAAAATATATTTAAAAATAAAGTATAGAGGCGAAAAAATTTTTAAACGTGAATTTTTGAATTTTAAAAACTTTCTGAAGGAGAAAATTTTTTTTCAAGAGTTTTCTTCTTTCTAAATTTTTCAATATCAAAATTCTCTAAATTTTTAAGAAGTTAAATGCATCAATGCTGAAAAATTTATGAAAAGATCTGTTAATCTGTTTTTCATGTGTCATCTTTTTATTTCTGTCTATCATATTATCAATTGATGCAGTCACATATCTTTCGGCGACTCTATATTTACGAAAGAAACTAATATTCGATCTCAAATATAGACTCGGTATATCTATGTATACGCATACAATATAAGATATACTATATTTACATTATTTTGGCTTAATGTGAGGATTTTTTATCTCTTTGTAAAAAATTATTTGTTACAATTTTTATTTTTAACATAATGCAAGATTAAAACTCTTGAAATTCTATTTAAAATTAATTCAAGAATAGAAATATTGTAATTATTTCATCATCTCTATGTTTTGGCTCGTTTCAAACGCTCTTTATTCTCAATCACTAAAGTATTGTAAAAAAGAGCTACAAGTACTTCGACGCTTCCGTACAAGAAGAATCATTTCCTGAATGGCGAAAGGGAATCTGTCATCGGGAAATAACGCGTTAGAAGTGAAACGCCCTGCGATATGCGCGCACGTTGCACGAATACTTAAGCACACGCGCGTAAAACGATGGATCCATATAACGCGTACATTTGGGCGATGCACAGCCAGGGGAGGTTTTAGCATGCGGAGCAGACCGGCCTTTAATGCTGAAATATCGCTAGAACGTCGCAATGTTGCCCCGTCATCGTCGTCGTCGTCGTGGTCGTCGTCGTCTTGCCGCGCGATATTTCGGGATCCGCGCGAGTGCGCAAAACCCTTAACCGCACGCTCATATCTACCCCTCTGTTGCCACGCCGCCTTTGTTGTATGCTTACACATAAAGTTACAGTCATAATTGCTAAGTAACTAGTAGAAGAGTTTGAACGCTTTAATATTGTACAACAGCTATTATTCTCTCTCTGCACAATCAGAAGCGTTTATACCAGGTAATCGAGCAACGAAGCCATTGGCAATATTAAATGGACTGTATATAGAAATTATATACATGGGGGTTATACATGAACGGAAGATTAGTAGCCCCATCGACGATAGTTGAATCCCTTTCGTGCCTAATCGATGTCTGCTTAAGCGAGAGCAAACGTCTCGAGTTTGAGTGTTGGCCGAACGGCAAAACAACGAGTCCTCGAGGCGGAAAGCGGGCGGAAAGGAAGTTTCGAGGGCATCTGGAAGCGCTCCTAGTTAGTACTCAGAAAAACAAGCTGGCTGTCGTCAGGATAAGGGGATTAAGAGGGTTCTGAGCCGACAGCTGGCGACGCGAACGCTCGAGCCAATTCCTCGGGACCGGGGTTGGTCCATAGTCGTACTATTCAGACAGCACGTCGGCTTCGACGAGCCAAGAAAGAGATTCCGTCGTTGCTGTGTAGTGATTTATCGCCCGTTATAGTCGGTATTTTGCGAATCACGTACGCCTACGTGGCTTGGAAGGGAAAAAAATGCGAATTGCCGCGAGCGAACATTGGTTGATGTGTGAAAGTGATTAGAAATTAATTGACTCAACATGCTTAAACGAGTTTGTAAAGTATTATTTTTAATACTGCAGTGGCGTATAGTAGAACGGAATCTTTAAACAGCCTGAGATGTGGCTTCTAAGCTTCTTACTTTCGAGTAAAAGCCATTTAGTAAGAGGATTTGTTATGGTTTTACGGGAGTACCTTTTGAATTGATTTCTTGTTGATCAAAATAATCATCATTGGCTGCAGAGCATTTTCTTTTATTCAGAAGAAGTAAAGCCGGAAAAAGAAGCTTTCCAATTCTGTGGTTAAGGAAACTCGAATCAGTAACTTTATTCGAATATTCTCTATAACCGAATTTGACAGCGAAACCGTAAATTTTCGACGCCGATCGAATATATCTTATAACTTAGATCACCAGGCACCATCATGCAACAGGGATCGTGGGGAGGGGGAACAGCGGAGCTTTCGGCTAAAGTCGAAGAAAGTCGTAAAGCGCTTAGAGGTAAAAATTCATCTTGCCGCGCCGGGATAAAGTCCGTGCGATAACTTTAGACGGAAAAATTTCTGCCGATCGCAGGGATGAAACCCCGAAGTTGTCGGACGATAAGTAGCGGCGGCCGGAGTTCGCTCGATTTCCTACAGTTTTCATTAGTGAGCGAATCGTATTTCACTCTCTCTCTCTCTCCTCTCATCCTCCCATCTTCCGCCGTCACGTCTCTCACCTCCTTTTTCTCTCTCATTAACGGCCCGTCGGGCTACTCTACAATTTCCACGACTAGACAATAAGTACAGCTGCGAAAAGAAAGAAGGTATGAGGAGAAGCATCGTTTCCCCTTCCACTTGCCCCGGCTTTTCATAAAATCCAATTTAAGAACTACCCTGATCCCTCCCCTCCTTCTCGTTCGTCCTTATTTTTCTAAACTAGTGAAGAGCCGACGGGACATTTTTCTTCAAGATTGTAGTTAATGCATAATAAAAATGTGCAGAGCATAAGGAGCTATGAACACAGTATTTTTCTCCTTTTCTTTTTTTAGTGTAAAACTAAACGTAACTATTCGAAAACGAAGAGCACAAGATTTTTAGCTTATAATTTATTTAATTATTAAATTAATTATAATAATAAACTCTTATAGAATTTTAATTATATTTTTGTGTTACGCGCTTTTTAATTCAATGTAAAGTTATTTATTAAAGAAATAAAAATTGAAATTTATGTATACAAAACGTAAAAAAATACAAAATTTCTCTTTAGATTACATTTTTACATACAAAATAATATTTTAATATATTAATTTTTCTTATTTTTGGTACACAATCTATTTTTTTTTATTTTTTGTTTCATCTCAATTTTTTTTATATTTCAATCACATTATAGCAATGACGAGACCTCTCGTGTGAAATGTAATAATCCTGCATCGACAGCTTTTATATCGTCGGTAACTGTATCAGTCGATAAGATTTTGAAAATTAAACAAAATGCATTTTTATAATCTTGCTTTTATTCTACCAGTGCAAACATATATAACATATTTTCTTTAAAAATATATTATTTCGTATAGTATATCGAATATTGCATTATCTCTATTTCATTATTGCACGCAATATTTCTATAATTCACATGCGAATTATAAATATATCAATACAATTATATAATGAATATATATGCATTAAGAATAAAATTATTGGTTCTTTTAGTATCTAATAGTGCCTGAGTCAAAAAGAAAGATTCAAGAAATTCGTTAAACTAAAACGGCTTTATATTGCTTAGGACATGGTTCCATGTCATTCACCGCTTTTCGGTAATTTTCCCAAACCTTTTGATCGTTGATACAAACAGTTCCACCGCCTCGTACATATTGAGTGTCCTAAACGATAATAAAATATCAAATTATACGCTTTCCTACCAAATTGCATCGAAGATATAAAAGACATAGAAGAGACATTAAATTAAAGAACTAAATTATAGAAATTACACGCGCGCGATTTTTTTAAAAAAATCTCAGAAGACGTATACTTACTGCTCGGTTGATATCACCAATGCAGGTCCAAGTTCGATTATTTTTACCGTCAACAGCCACTGCCCACTTGGAATGATCGCGGCTGCTCGTAAAATCAATATCAACCGACTTCAAATGAATGGATACGACGTTGTACACTCTACAAAAACGACAAAGATTTAACTAAATTAGAAATGAGTTTAATTAAAATTTATTCAGCAATCAAAATTTAAAAAATATGATATTACTTCACTTTTTCGCAGTCCGATGGTAGTCTACCCCGTCCGTTTAACCATGTTTCGGCAAATAAATCTGTTTTCAACGTCGGCGCAACGAACTGTTCATACAAATCTATTAGGTTAACATAAAGTGTATGTTAATTATTTATTGACAGGAGATTTTATGAGAAATATATTAATTACATACAAAAAAAAGAGACACATTTATTTCACCAATCGTAAAATAAATAGTTTAAATTAAAGAAACGATTTCTGAAATTCAGCTGACACCTTCAGACGCTCCTTATTTCAAAGACATTGTTGATTAGGATAGCTTATAATATTAAATAATATTATAAAATATATATCTTATTAGGTATGCAAAAAAATGTGTAAGACTTGTAAAAAATTTTTTTCTATAAGAAAATCAGATATTAATTTTCAAAATAGATAAAATATTTCGAGTCTCACTTTGAAGATATCACTCTAGCGTGTTGTTTTAAATTACTTTCCGCAATATATCAATACACAAAAATAATCAGAGTGTATTACCTTTCTGCCATTTGTCACTCTTAGCAAACGATACAAATTCAACGCCGCCAGATGATTTCAACAGCGTTTTACTGGTGAAAGGTGCTTTTCTAATACGCTTCTGCATAGCCGCGGCCGTGAGATTCGGAAACGTCGTGACGAACGTGTTGAGGATGTTTCTTCGATATATTATTATTTGATTGTACATGAATTGTTGACCGATCGAATCGAATTGATCGCTGTCCACGGAGATACATAGAAAACTCTGCCCATAATTCTCCCCAGATGACGGATAATCATATTCAGACCGATTTCCCGGAGTCAAATCTTCTTCAACATTTCTCTGGAAATATTTCATTTAAAAAAATTTTTATTTTAAGATATCTTGATGTCTTAGATAAAATACTGCCACAATAAAGTCGAATGAATTATTTGGATAAAAACATTATATTATTTTCAATTATTTAATTAAGACTATAAATATAAAAAATTTAAGAAAAATAAGAATGACTGATAGTTTTAACAGACTTTAGCAAATTCATGAAAAAGACACCTTTAGAAAAAATGATGTTAATCGGTAGATGATCGTTACTTGGTTCATTTATCTCTTTGTCTATTAAAATTATCAATTATCATGGAAAAAATACTGATTGTGAGAATTAAAAAGAATTATCGATATTGGATATATTCAAAAGGCTTTTATACGTACTCGTCTTGTGTCGTTACCGCTGTTAGGTAGAGGCGGATAATTAGGAACGCTGTGTATTAACCAGAAACCCTGTTTGTTGTTCGCCATCATGGCGCCTTTTGCATGACCATATTTTCCATTGATAGGTCTGTTAGGCGGATCGTCATTGTACAAGATCCAGAAAGTCTTCGATGCCTCTGACTAAACGTGTAAATAAATATTACGTACACACTTTAAAAAGTAACGTAAATTTAAAATCTATATTTTAGAAAATTAGAAATTTTGCTTACTTATAACTTCCGAGAAGAAAAGTTTTTTTAAATAAATAAACTATAGCGAATTAAAAATTAATTCAACTAAAAGATTACTTTGTTGATTGAATTACTTGATTGATTTAATTAAAGAATTAAATTTTATCATTTATTGCGGAGCAAGTAGTGAAACTGACAGTTGATGCCGGCCACAAATAATTAATGTGCTTAAACACACCTGAATACATAAGTACACGTCTATATTACAATTTGTTCATTCTTACGTCATTGTATAAAGGTGCTAAGGTATTTCCCGGTATAGAATTCTTCGCGCTGATCTTTTTCGTGGATAATTGCCAGCCCTTATCAACAGTATTACTGGTCATATATAAATATGCTAGTCCGTTCCTAATGACAGAATTGCTGCTTTCCGAGACCTTCGGCAACTTGTAAAGTACGTACCTACAATGAAATTACGTTGCGGTAATTGTTCATAAAGTTATCGATAGCGGAAACGCCATATGGTTGAAAGATAAACATTGTAAGGTAAATACAGAATATTGCAAAATATAATGAATAAGAATAACAAAACTAAAATCAATCATTCGCTTGTTATTGTAAAACAATATAAAAAATATATTAAACAGACCAAAGACAAGCAATAACAGGTGTACAATGTTAACTTTATTTCTTATTATTAACCCGTAAAAGACACCTGGATGCGAATTCGCACCAAGCGAATTTTTTTAAAGTTTTATATCTTCTGAAAATAAAAAGCAAAATGTGTTTCTCAATGTAAAATTATCTTACGCTCTTTTTTCGAAAATTTAATATTACCAGTCGATTGGTAATATTAAATTTTCGAAAAAAAAAACGTAATTGTTTTCAAATTTCGTATTAAACAAAACCATTCAAAAGAGAAGTGTCCTTTACGGGTTAACAATACAGCGAAACTAAGTTTCAACCTTACTAATTGTAAGTCTTCCTCAATCATAAACTCAATAATTAAAATTAATCTGTGAAGTCGATAAAATATATACAATAATAAATATAAATAATAATGTTTATCATTTACAATAAATTCTTTTTAACGGACATTCAATTAAATAACACAAATATAAATAAATAAAATCATAATAAAATTGATACGTTGAAACAGTATCGTCCGGAAGATTAATATAATTTAATAAGTGGTCGAGTTAAAACGGCTAGTTTTTCAACATGGCATTTTGGTTATTTTTTTTTAAAAAGGAAAAAAATAATTATTTTTATTTAATATTCATTATAAGCTTAAAAATAATAATTGTTCACGTTATCATTGAAATATATTCATTCTATATTCAATTTTTCTTAATAAATTAATTTAAACATTTGAAAATAAATAAAATTAATTTGAGAATTTAATTATTAAATAAAATAAAGAATATAAATAATTAATATGTATGAATTTTATACATATTAAATAGTGTTTTTCATATATTCTTTATATTATTTTATTTATTCGTAGATTTAAAACATTTTTATAAACTATAACTATAATATATAATAAGACAATCTTTTATTTAAAATCGATCTTTTATTTAAGAAAAAAATACTAAAACCTATGAAAATTATAATTTGTGACCAGCAATGAAAATAAATAGTGTACTTGATATATTAAAAAGACTCACCAATCGACATTTCGATTATCTTCATCCTTACACCGAGGATTTGCCGCATCGCACGCAAATAATAAAATACTTATGCACAATAGTGAAAACATCATTAAATCACGTTATCAATATCCAAAGTCAATGAAAATCCGTAGCGATCACACTGGATCACGATCTGTTGCTCTCTGAACCAGCAGACATTGAAATGGTGTTAATTAAAATGCGTCGACAAACATATACTTCTGCTGTACTTGTACCACTATACTTGCCGATCGATTACGTCATAACAATAAATTACAAAGCGAAAGCTGGAATCGCACCGATGAACAGTTCGGTCTGCATTACTCTCGGCTCATTGACGCGAACATTGCACATACCTGTCGAGACAATTTCTGAAACACGTGCGAATTTATATTTAAATTTGCAGTTACAATAACATTGGCGTACGCCGTGAAAATAATGTCTCTTTTGTAATCGTTATCATCATTATTCCACAATTGTTTGCACAGCGATAAAAATATAGTCGTGTAAAAAATGTATACGGGATAATAAGCTGCTGTTTCTTGTCAAAGTAATTTATTTGCAATAAGAAACTTGAAAGTTCTTTGCAAAATGGAACTCGCAACGGAACTCAATCTATATAACGAAAAATAATAATCTGTCTTTTAATTTCAGCTATTTTTAATAGAATAATATTTTTAGTTCGTAAAATAATTATATATTTTGTATTTCTGAATTTCTATTATCTATGTAATAAGTATTTCATGAAAAACTTTTGTAAATTGAAAAAAAGAAAATTTTTTTATTAATATTTTTGTTAAAAGTAGGTTGATAGAAATAGATTGTTTATATTTACAAAGACCCACGTGAAAATTAGGTAGTTCTAAAAATTTATTTTTCATTATTTATTTTACTGATCTGTCAATATATCTGAATTTTTTATTAAAAATTTCATCAAATCTCGAATTTTTAATACAAAGTTTATTTGGAATTAATAGAAAAAATGAGATCTGTTTGCTCTTTAAATTTTTTTAATATTAAATTAATTTTTCTGTTGTTCAATCAACCAAAAACTTTTGTTAAAAATTTTTAACGTCCAGTGTATTAAGAACATTGACAATATCACTTTTCGTGCCAAAACATTAAGTAGACGTAAGCGTTTTAGAAGAGGAATATGTCACAGTAAAATGTAAAATATTTGAAGAGGACAAAGCGATAGCGCGCCGCCTCCACAAGTAGATAACGTCAGAGCGATGTTGCGCATCGCCCCCGCACGCAAACTGTACCTATGTTCATGCAATGACCTTTGAGAATGCCGCAGCGCCGCGTGAGAATTTTATTAATACATACATCGAAATGAGAGCGTGCATTGTACAATAAAACATGTTTACCTACAGCATTTTCTACGATCTGCCTCTTCGACTGATGATATCGATATATTGTTGCAGAACGGGACATTCGCCGACGACGTGACTGCGACGAAGGTTCCGAGAAAACTCCAAGACGCTCCGAGACGCGAAGACACAAGAGAGAAAAAAATGAATCGTGAAGACCACTGATGACGTCACACGGTCCCTTCCACGCGCCCAATGCATCCAGGCGATGCATTACATTCCTGTAACAGAGTATGAAATTTTTTATCGCAAGACAAGAAATTGTGTAATACGTATAATGGAAATAATTTTAAGAGTACGTGGTGTACCAAAAGTCGGACTCCGCAAGGCCAGGCTAGTTATTAAAAATAATTGTAAATAACTTATGTGTTATCAACTGTTATTACTGGTATTGCTCTTTACCAGTGAATTATGAAAAAACCGGTTTTGAGAAAAAAAAAACGTAAAAAACAGCAAGAAGTTATCAATTTGTATTATGCATTTTATACATATGTTTTACAATTTGTACTTCCTATATCTTTGTACGAATATCTATTTTTCATATAATTTGAAGAGCTGTGTTGCTAGTTTATTAATATTTTAACTGTTATTTATTGAGAAACAGATGTATATTACACTCGTTATTTACGCTCGTTGCATTTTTTGAATTATTGAAAATAGTTTTAGGAATTTTTGTTGCTAAATGCTTTAATTAAAAATAATAAATAAAATGATGAATGTGGAGGCGTCCACATTTAATTACTTCGAACTCGATAGCGCGAAATTGCACGATCGATCCAAGAAATTCGAGTAATCGACTATAATGTTACTCAGGTAATTTCAAATAGGAGGAAATATATCAGCTGCTTAGGGCAATTAAACTCTAATTATCTTAGTCGGTTAATTAATTTAATAATTAAGTCTGTACCATTTTATTAATATAGGTAAAATAATTAATATTTGTTATTTATTATATGAAAAATTAGATTAGGCACAACAATTCGTATAGTTAGAAATTTTGCTTTAATTTTGCCAGTTAAATTAATCATCAATTAAATTAATCAAAATTGTCCTAAGGCAGATGTTTCCTTCTCCCATAGCCTTTAGAAACCCATCGCGTACAATTATATATTTAAAATACAAATTTAAAAAAATTAATTTAGTATTTTTAAATTACACGGACAAAAATACTGAAAATAAAAAATATAAAAAGTATATCACACGTTATATGAAAATTACTGAAATTTTATTAAATTAAAACACATTTTATATTTATTTACTTTAATCTACGTTTTTACTCATTAAATTAAAACACATTTAATATTTATTTTTTCTTTTAATCTACATTTTTACAATTGTTTTCATACAATTTATTCCGTCTCAAAGATCTTTTCTTTTCTGTCTAGCGAAAATCAAAGTAGCAAAAATTCGGCGCGGCGAAACTGAAACTGATCCGCATCCGGTTGCACACCGCCGACATCCGGTACACGCGCAAGGCTCCCGAGCGCGTGCCGCCGGTCCTGTGGGATAGCCAGCGCTCGGACGGGAGCAGCGGAACAGCGAGCGATATCGGAGTCGGTCGCAGTCAATTCGTGCGGTGGTTCCTGTGGTGGTATGGCGGACGCGAGTTCGCCGTGCGGAGCAGTGCGGAGGCAACGCGGTGCGTACACGTCGCGATAAAGTGTCGCACGCGCGTATGATCGAGTGACGCGCGACGTGCGGGTGCACAAGGTTCGCTTACGCGCAAACACCGCGAGTGACTCTCCGTGCGTGTCCCGTGCGTTCACCATCTATACCTCCATTCTCTCTCGCCGCGTCTCTCCGTGTGTGTTTGGGTCTCTCCCTGTTTCGTGCAGGGGAGTAGAGACACGCACCGCGAGACAGCCGAACTGGTACTTGTTCGCGGAGCGAGCCCACGACGAGGCGCCGCTCCGCCACCGGATCGCACCGAGTATCGTCGGCCGCGACAATAACGAGAGCTGACGCGATGACTTCCGTCCCGGTGTCCCGAAGCGCTGACCCTTCCTTGGTTCGAGAGGTGCACGGCTTGGAATTGTCGGTCAGTCCACTCTCGCGATTAAGTATAGCGGAGATTGAGAGACGATAGTGATCACGCACGGCACACATCTCGGGTTTAATCTCACGGATTGATCTCACGGATCTCTCCAACGGCGACTCGCTTCGCAGGAAAATTCTTTTACTCGCGAACTCGGTTTTTTTTCCCCCCTGTAACACGGGGAATGCAACGTTTTACAATAATGCTGAAACTTTAAGCACGTTGACAAGCGCTTTGCTCGGAAAGAGTTATTTTACTATGTAATATTATGAGCATACATTACAATATTTATTACATTATCTGGCACAGGGTGTAAACAATTCTGGTTATTGCGGTGAATACCAAAGAGCATGCATAAACATGTAAAAGAATGTTTTATTCATTTCTTATTTTTTTCTACATCATATTTAATGTATCTCGCAATATGGTTTTTGCGTTAATACTTGAATTTTTTATGAAAGAGTGATCGTATGTATTAAATAGGTAAATTTGTTCTAAATTTATTCGAGTTTCTCAATCTTATGATCTTTTAATTAGCTGTTTGTGTGCGCGAAATACTCTGAAAGATCTTTCTATTCTTTTTTGTAATAACATCTGTGTTTATACTTATCTATGACAATTTTCTATTTGTAATAGGTATCAGCTTGACGAATGATACCCTGGAATCTAATGCATGAAGTATCTGCAAAATTATAAATGTGCCTTCAATGCCCTGACCATTGAACGAAGAAGTATCAAAATGAATAGGGCAGACAGCGCGGATGCTGGTAAAGGCTGGCACGAATGTGCCAGCTGGTTGACCAGATGCGGCGCGTTACGCGCGGATCACAAGGCCAACTGGCCGCAGGCAACTGCCTTCGACCTGGCCTACACGTTGCGGGACGGTGTGTTGCTGTGCAATCTGCTGAACATTGTGGATTCGGGATGCATAGACATGAAAGACGTGAACCAGAAGCCGCAGATGGCGCAGTTCCTCTGCCTGCGTAATATAAAAATATTCCTGTCGGCGTGTTCAAGTGTTTTCGGCCTCTCTGATTCGGATCTATTCGAGCCGGGTATGCTGTTCGACCTGTCAAACTTCCATCGCGTCCTCTGCACACTTTCCGCCTTGTCCAATTGTTCACGACTGAGGAGAAAGGGCATACCGTAAGTAACCTGGCCGCCTCTTTTGTATTTTTTTGTCGTACTGAAATTTAAAATGCTATCAATTTGTTCCAATTATAAGATAAATTAATATCAGATGAATAAAGAAAATATATCTTATTTGTTACAGTGGATTTTCCGTCGGTCATGGAAGATCGCAAGAGGATATTTATAAGGATTTACAAAGTGCCGGTGCAGGGTAAGAATCTATTGCTAGTTACATCTTGGTAACTTACACATAAACAGTTCATTGAACATTAAATATCAAAAACGTTATATCTTGACTCGAAAAAAATAAAAGGTTTGTCTCTTTCTTAAAATAAAACTTCTATTTTCCATTGCTATACAGATAGCGTATATGTATATATATTTTTTTTTTAAATATCGATCGATAAAAGAAGTAACTGTTCTGTAACTTGTCCCACAAAAATAACGGCAGAGAGTTTAGTAACTTTTATAATATATATTAATATATTTAGCGCCACACATGGATTGGTGGTGTTAAGAACTAGGGCTGTGGACGTAGATGAGTCTCGAGTTTATCAGGAATTGCTCTGCTTCTCGAGCAATTCTCAACGTAACTGGCCTTCCGTGGAGAAGGTATACGTCATTTTACGGCTTAACAATCTTAAGAACATTTTTGCTGAAAGAATAGCCAGCCATCATTGTATCCTTCCTTCGCAAAAAATGCTGCCCGCTTCGATCTATAAATAGTAAACGCTCCAAAGCGTGAATTGAAACGTTCTTGTATACACAAACAAGATGTGCTGTGATTTAAAACCTATCGCTCGGATCATCGCATTTTGACTCAAACTTTCCTCAGTTTCGTTATCGTTTTATTTACATGGTAAATTTATTATTCCGGAAAATATTAGCTGTACGTATAATTGACGATATACGCGCATATATTATTAAATTACGTGTTGACGCATTGAATTATATATACCCTCCATGTGATACAATGATGGCATTATTTCACTCTTCATGCTGAAGATACATATCGATCGCAGTCATCATCAGTGGCAGACCTTGTAATTGTGCTATATTATAATTTGATTTTCGCCGAGAACTTAGCAATTCCCGTCAGTATGCATGTCATAGTGCATGGCCGTGTTTTTTTCGTGTTTATGCTAAAGCCGCGAAGATGAGGGTCGCCGCAGGAGGTTTAGGAGACGAGAGGGCGACGAGACGGTCGGCGGGGGGGATAATGAGGATCCGGTCGGCGAGGAGGACGGATATGGAGCTTTTTGCAGTCACGCGCAAAGTGAGGAGATCTACCAGGACCTCTGTAGTCTGCATTTACCACCTCCTCCGTCAGTTGCGCAGGTCATCATTTCTTTGTCCTTATCTCTATATTCAATTTTTCAATAATTTTTTTTTTTATATATATTACGACTCTTATGTCCCCAAGCGTCCCTTGTCTTCGAACATTATTTCTGAAATTCTTGAAGGAGAAGGAGCAGCCAATCAGAGAGACCGTCTATTAAAATCTAAGAAAGAATTGCATGAATGTATTAAATGTTTAATCTCATTGTTGAGAACATAGAAGAGTCGAGGAAATTCTTATTTATTATTAGCGCATTTACGTACGATTAATTTTGTTACCCACCATGCGCTACGCTTTTACACTTTGCCTTACTTTACAATACGTACAAAAACTCTTCTCTTCATTCGAGATCATTTTCAACAACAGAGTAGTGCCATTTCTGGAGGAGAGAAGAGAGATTACGTGATCCAGGAGCTTGTGGAGACTGAGCGAAATTACACAGAAGTTCTCAGTAGTCTCCTTCGACATTTCGCCCGGCCTCTGTCGTCGTTACTCCGGCCCGAAGATTCCGCCCGCATCTTCTTCGGTATCAAGGAGCTCTCGGAGATCCATGTGGGCTTCCACAGTCAGCTACGCAAGGCGCGAGACAGCACCGCGCTCGCCCAAGTCTTCCTCGACTGGCGGGAGAAGTTCCTCATTTACGGCGATTACTGCGCAAATCTTACCCTAGCACAAAATACTCTGCAGGAAGTCTGCGCGCGTAACGAAGTAATCAATCAAGAAGTTATCGTAAGTTTCGCAAGTCGTGAAATCATGAGATTAAATCAAAAAGAAGGCTAAAAACTTACTACGTTTTACATTTGGTCTTTTTACAAAGAAAAGTCTAATATTTCTAATTTATTTAATAATCCAATGTACAGTATAAACAATATAATCTCTAGAAATTTCATATAATCCCATATAAATTCGCTAATTGATCTAGAAATCTCATATAAATTCACTAACTATTGAATTAAAGAATATAGTGTATTTGAGCTGTTTTTAACACTGATATGTATTACAGAGGTGCCAACAAGAAGCTAACAATGGTAAATTTAAGCTGCGCGATATACTGTCTGTTCCGATGCAAAGGGTGCTCAAGTATCACTTGCTATTGGATAAGTTGGTAGAGGAAACTCCTCGCGAGTGGCTAGAGGACTGCTATGCGTTGGCGAAAGCGAGGGAAGTGATGGTTGATGTCGCTCAGTACATAAATGAAGTAAAACGCGATTCCGACACGCTGGACATCATAAAGGACATCCAGGCATCGATAATTGACTGGGATGTCCCTGAAGATGCGCAGCTGAAGGATTTCGGCCGATTACTTCGTGACGGCGAGCTCAAGGTTTGCCTAATATCTTTACAAACAAAAATATATAAATTTAGTTAGTTTTCAAGAAAACGTAGATTGCAGTAGACTCCAAAGTTAGCTCGATGTGATCGAACTGCTGTTGATTCAGTTTTTCTGCAGGTGAAAGCCCATGGCGATCAGCGAATAAAGGCCCGTTATGCATTCATATTCGAGCAAGTGGTGTTGATTTGCAAAGCCGGCAGAGGAGACCAATACTGTTACCGGGAAACTCTACGATTAGATGACTACAGACTGGAAGATCACATAAGTCGGCGAACTTTGGGGAGAGATTCACGTTGGTCCTATCAGTGGCTACTTGTACATAAGCAGGCGTACACAGCATACACTTTATACGCGAGAACGGAGGAGCAGAAGCAGATGTGGATAAAGGCATTGCAGGATGCGATGGATAATGTTAATCCCGCAGCCTGTCGAAATACCAATCATAAATTCAAGTTAACGACATTTGACATTCCTAGGAGCTGTCAACGATGTGGAAAATTCCTTAAGGGTCGCATATTTCAGGTAAATGAGCTCGCAAAGTGCACTACCAATTATAATTATATAAATAATAGATTCCAAAGAGTCAAGCGTGATTGAAACATATTAAAAATTCACAGCACAATTGTACAAAAGTTGGATTACAGAAATCGCAAAGAATAAAATTCTAAGAATAAATATCTATCGACAACTGTAGGGTCACATGATTTTTTTTTTTTTCTAAGGACGATGGGTAACATGCATAAAAAAAGATTCCATCGCTTAGGCCAAAATTTAGTTATTTTAACGTTCTTTTTTAAATGAGAACATTCGCAATTCTAGACTCTGATTTCTCATTTGGAATATTAGGAAATCACAAATTTTTAACCGAACGTGTTGTATCATATAGGGCTACAAATGCGAGATATGTCGCCTTGCCGTGCACAAACAATGCATTGCGCACTCCGGTCGTTGTATGCCCACGCCGCCGTCGTCGACACCGCCACCGCCGCTACCCTGCGAACGCGCGCTCACCGCGAAACTGTGGTTCGTCGGGGAGATGGGCAGGGATGCAGCTACCAACAAACTGGAATCCCGCGAAGATGGCACCTACATGCTGCGCGTTCGTCCAGCTGGACAGCCACGCCTCAAACATGAAACCAATTACGCTCTTAGTATCAAGTAAGTAATATTTGGATCATTTATTGCATTATTTCGATGAATTTTGATACTTTAAATATATAAATAAATAAATTACATCCAAGAATATTTCGAGTTTTAAACGGTCTTTCCTATACCTAGATTCTATATTTTCTCTATTTCTTCTATTTAAATTTCCTAAAACCCTTGATTAGATATTACAATTATTTTTTCAGGGCCGAAGGAGCGGTAAAACATATCCGAGTGTTCAAACGCTATATGGACGGGGCGGATCTGTATTATCTCAGCGAATCTCGATTTTTCAAGAGTGTCGTTGAATTGGTCGAATACTACGAGCGGGAATCGCTCGCGGAAAATTTTGAGAAATTGGATCAGCGTCTACTGTGGCCGTATCGACGTGTCCTGGCCAAGGCATTGTTCGATTTTCGGGGCTCCGATCGCACTCAACTGAGCCTGCGACGCGGTTGTCGAGTCGTGGTGCTGAGCAAGGAAGGTGATGCCACGGGATGGTGGAAGGGTAAAATAGGCGACCAAGTAGGATTCTTTCCAAAAGAGTATGTGGAGGAGGAGTAGGACTATTAAAGAGACGAATTGTTATTACATCGTTGCATATAATATATCGGATTTCGAAAGTTTCCGGTTAGATGCCTTTTGATAATTGATTATTGTACAATTGTGACAAAGTATCGATACGATTCTTTTTACGAAACTGCATGCTTCTTGTAAATAAATTTTTATGTTTTTTAAATTAAACGAATTGGTGAAAATTTATGAAATATTTTTGTAGGAGATAGGTATAACATTATTCGAGACATTTTTTGAGATCGTGTGACGTTTGTAATAGAAATTTTACACTTAGGAAGAGACGTCTGAATTTTCTGATAGTGTAAGGTCTAATTAATACCTTACAGCATGAATATTATATACAGCTGAGGATAAAATGTAAAATATTACAATACACAAAGTTAGGTATACAAAATTAGGAATGATTTAAATGATATAAATCTTCTTTAATAACTTTTTTTTTTAATGGAGATATAAAACCGACATTTTATACGCAACGACCTAATTTGTTGACCTTTCGATGGCCGATAAACACCGTAGTAATGATCTTACGGTGCAATCATGATAATTCTATCGACGCATACCTCAGTAGGAAAAAAAGATAAAAAGACGACTTTATTGACGAGGCATTTTTGCGTTATTATTAAAAAAATACATAGGTAAATGTATGCACAATTTGCGCGTCGCGTGCGCAACTTTGATGCTACTGTTCTTTTGTGTTTAACGAGATCCGAGCGCGTCACATCGATGTATGTCGCTACACTTAGACAAATATTTTTAGCCACGTGTATAGAATTATAACGTTAATAACTGCGTACATATATATATATATTTTTTTTTATTGCGACGTGGCATTCCTGATTATCGTTAGGCGATAATATCATAAAGACTAAAGTTGTTTGTCCGAAAATGCATATGATTTACGCATGAATCTAAGAAAATGTGTGCAAAATGTTCGTGAAAAGATGGGAACTTGATTATTTTCTTCAAGAATTAGAGATTTTTTTCTTAAAGAAAATAAAAGGAGAAGAAATATTATACCAAAGAATTGAAATTAACGTCTTTATAGATGCATAATTCTTCACTTCTCAACTTTAACAAGAAGTGAATTTTTCGCCTAAAAGATGTGTCTGCTAATACCCGATCCCTTTTTTAATTTTTTATGGACATACTGTATAATGGCTATCTATATCTTGCCAACAACTTTCTTCTTTATGATTAAATTTCAGAGTCAATTGCCAGATATTAATTGTATGTACATAATCCTATCCGTACAATTAATAAGAATATTTCTAGTTATATTTGAATTGCGAACAAATTCATGCACACAAATTGTATACAGGGTGTTCGGTAATTGAAGAATAAAGAGAGCAATTTCTCATGTAATTAAAATGAAATAAGATCAAGTCTGCAACGTATATTTGTATAAATTATACTCGTTTCGCGTTGTTAATTAATTATATCTCAAGGATTCATTATTTGTTTTGCAAATGTTCCAATGTTATAATTCTCTATGATATCTATACATTTTTCTATTAATTATTGATGTGTAATAATTGACTTTTATAATATTGTATATTTAGATAAAATGTAATTATATGTAAGTTTCTGATTATTGCTTGGAGTAACAAGTTACAAGTCCACGAAAGACAAGCTGCCTAACAATATTAATTTATTGTAAGCTCAATTAGTGCCAATCAAAACTCTGTCCAAGTGGGTAGAATAGTAACATATTTAGATACTAAGTTCAAAAACCCAAGAAAGCAGTCTACAACAAATCTTATTAGCAGCCTGTAAAATTTGCTCTGATATACTGTTATTCCAAGCAACAAAATTTATTGTAGAAAATTTATTCGAGAAAGTTGAGAAATTATTCTCTTTTTACTAGATTATATTACTGGTTATCGAGCAACCATATATAAATACAAAAATATATATATATATAATAAATATATATATTTATCTCTCGTATATATTTTTTATTGTAAGTACGAAAAAATTAATTTTACTATTTTTTTAATTGTTAGACATATTTTTCTGAGTGTGCCAATAAGAAATTCTATCAATAAAGGATCTTATCAAGATGTTATACAAATGCTTACACGCTATCGTCTTATTACTTTTATTAACAGTTCGAGTATCTCCAGTTATCTCAATTCAATAGTCTTGGACTCCGACTGTTTACGATACACAATAGCGGCAACTTTCTGCTCTATCCTCTTACAGCCGGCCATTGAGTACAGATTGAGCGGCTCAGGGCCGAAGGTCAAGTGCGACAGCGCCTCCTCTACCATCTCCTCCCTCGGAGCGACCCCTCGCTCGGTGAAGGCCCTCGCCAAGCATTTTCTAACGTGCACCTCCTCAAGAGGCAGAAAGGGCACATAATGATCGATCACACTAGTCTGTATAGCGTCACTGTGATGGAAACCGCCCTTCTCGGTGAACGCCCCGTCGGCTATCAGTTTTTCAAAATCCTGCAATCGCGTGTCCTCCCGATTTCTGCCCCTCTCCCACAGATTTGTGAGATGCTGCACTATCTGGGCGCTGCCGGTGTTCGAGAGAAATATAAAGATGGCTTTGTTCTGATACATGGACTCGCTGTTCTTGCTGGATTTGTGGTAGCTGTTGTAGTCGAGAAAAGGCACCAGCACGTTCAGTAGACCCTCCGGCATTTTGTCGACCTCGTCGAACACAAACATCGATCTGTCGCACTGATGCAGACCGTTGGAAATAATTTTGTACAATTCCTCCTAGAAAAGAGAAATTGTCTATTAATTGATCTTTCTTTTAATTTGTTATAATGAATTAAAAATGTATATCTGAATGTACCTTGTACTCGTCTACTTTTCGTTCCAGAGGAAAATCATTGCGACCGTTGAAAAAGTGGTAATAATTGCTCTGGACACCGTTTTTATAAATATTTTTGACAATCATCTGCACCACGTAGTTCTTGCCAGTCCCCGGCGTGCCATGAAAACTCATGACCAATGCCTTGGGCGAATTGTGACTTTCCAAGTGGCCCCTCAGTGCATTTATGACCGTTTCACGAGCAATTTGCTGGCCGAATAATTTAGCAGTGAGCATGTATTCTAGTCCTATAAAATTTTAATAATTCTTTATTTTAATATATACATAAGATAGAAGTTAGACAGATGTTAGATTTTAGACGAGACGTATCAGATGATACGAAGCAGATACTATTCTTATATTTGAAAAATACAAAGATATTAATCGCTCAAACTAGATTTTTTATAAAAAGACACAGTAATTGTAAATAATTATTACTAAATTTACGAATAGAAAAAAGTTTTAGGTACTTATAAATTACGACATATTTCTAAATTGATAATTAAATATAATTTAGTCTAATGACAATCTCGACAATCACACGATCTTAAAGAAAACAAATGTATAATTAGTTACAATAAAAATAAAGCCTATCTGATATACCAGAATGGCGTCAAATACATTAAATTAGTTTTAATAAAAATAAATTAATCGGAGAATCATTTATCGAACTGGAAAAAAATTCAATTTGATGAAGATTTAATGAAGCTAAAGCCTTTTTCTTCCTAAAAAGAAATTATGAATTCGCACTCACTGTCCAAGTCGGAATGAATGTATTCGTCCGTGCAGCACTCCTTGTACGCGCATTTGTACTTGTCGTACGCGTAATAACCTAAACCGCTTAAAGCACCCACTATACCGAACGTTATCAATTCGCATGCTACGGTCACGAGGAACGTAATAATAAGTAAAAGCATCAGCACGCGACTGAGCTTCATGTTTGGCTATATATTTCGGACGTTTTCTTTTCTCTTTCAAAGTTTTCCTCTCTACGAGCTGTGGCATCGCTCACATGACAGATCCCCGACGGCGTGCCGATGCCTTTGTCTCACGAGCCAGTATCGCGCATCCCCATCGCATCGAAATGAATCCGGCCGCTTAAAAAACGAAAACGTGCCCAAATCCGTCGAGGACGTTCCCGTGGCGTAACTCGGATTGTGCTGTATATAATTTAAGTAATTCGAACTTCGAAGTGTGCGAGTTTTTTGAACGAGATTCGAGATATCTCTTGGAACAGAGACCGGTTCACAACTTGTTGACGTTTGTTTTCATTCGTTTTCATTACGTTCGATTACATTTGGATCGTATCCCATGAAGCGACCGCGTATGTATGTATGTACACCTCGGAATTTCTTTGCCGTTTCAGACCCGCGAATTCGTGATAACAAAAGCGTCGCGTATAAATTGAGATAAAGAGAAGAACGTTTTCTTCGTTCAATGTTTTAATTTAACTAATAATGACTTAAACGAAATCAGAGAGAAGCGTGAGAGCGGCCACGCCGACCTTTTGCGCGGGACCGGCGGTCTCCCCCGTACACTAGCGCTCCACGTCCACGTTTTCAAAAAGAAACTACGCACCACGTCTATCCAAGTGCCGACGGGAGCGCAATGTGATATCTGATAGGGGCTCGACGAAGCTCCGAAAAGCAACACGCTGGATTATTACCAATATATCTGCAATCCTTGTATTCTTTAATGCTAGTCTCATACTACCTTGAAAAGAATTAAACGATAAAATAATTTAAAATATTTGTTGCATGGATGATAACGAAAAGGAGGAACATCCAAATCCTCCGCCGACGGGAGACAGTATAGGCGCGATAATTTTCCGAGAAAAATGCCTTTATACAGTAGCAATTTCACGTGTTCTTTAATGCGAAGCATATATGCTTTCTCGAGAAGATCTTATTAATAAAACATTCTAGAACATTATTGTTACATAATAATTAACGAACGATTTTCAGTGTTTATTATGTTTTATCGTAAGAAATAAGTTGCCGCGCCTTATACGTAAATTATTTATTTGTCATAATAAATTTGGAGTAATTTTAATGTTATATTAAAATTAAATAATAGTTTAAATTTAATTACGCATCTGTGGAGATGCACAAAGGATCATAAATATTGTTAAAAGTACATATAGAGATGAGAGGTTAAGCAAAAGCCAGTTTTCGCAGCGTCAGAAACTTCGTTTAAATCGAATAAAGTATCAGGAGCACACGTTAACAAAGTAGGTGGCAGAGGTATTCGGGGCGGAGGCCGCCAGCGCGCCATGGAGGGGGAGACGCGCGGCCCTACTACCCCCACCCACGCATATATGCTGCTTTTGCGCCGAGAGGCGGGGCCTACGCGCCGTATGAGAGTGGGAGTAGCCTTGGCTATGCTTTGGGATTTCGTGCCTCTTCGCTCAACAGCTTTCCGCCTTACCGACAAGCCTCTGTCGATACGCGCGCTGGTTAGGATTCCGTGACACCTCTTTACTCAACGTGTTCTCCGCGTATCGGCGGAAGTTTTCGAGCCTCTATCGAGGCGCGAGGGCTAGGATTAGTAGGATTCCGTGCCACCTCTTTGCTCAACGTGTTCTCCGCGTATCGGCGGGAGTTTTCAAGCCTCTATCGAGGCGCGATGGCTAGGATTAATAGGATTCCGTGCCACCTCTTTGCTCAACGTGTTCTCCGCGTATCGGCGGGAGTTTTCGAACTTTTGACGAGGCCCGCTGTCCAGGAATCCGTGCCTCTTCGCTCAGCAGTTTTTCACCTTACCAACAAGCCTCTGTCGATATAACGAGCGCTGGTTAGGATTCCGTGCCACCTCTTCGCTCAACGTGTTCTCCGCGTATCGGCGGGAGTTTTCGAGCCTCTATCGAGGCGCGATGGCTAGGATTAGTAGGATTCCGTGCTACCTCTTTGCTCAACGTGTTCTCCGCGTATCGGTGGGAGTTTTCGAGCTTTTGACGAGGCCCGCTGTCCAGGATTCCATGCCTCTTCGCTCAGCAGTTTTTCACCTTACCAACAAACCTCTGTCGATACGCGCGCTGATTAGGATTCCGTGCCACCTCTTTGCTCAACATGTTTTCCGCGTATCGCCAGGAATTTTCGAGCCTCTGACAAGGCGCGCTGGCTAGGCACGTGGACGTGGTTCGTGTCCGTGCTAATCGTGCATTATATATGCTACATTCTTCATCTACAATTTGTGGATGTAATACAGACATGAATTGGAATGTCATTTCATCAGCAACATCGCAAAATAAACGTGATCTATTTATTCACAATTTGTGCACGTAGCACAATTAGCACGGACCACGTCCACGTTCTCGTGCTATAATTTGATCGACAATGTTATAAGATAGACGTGGTACGTAGTTTCTTTTTTGAAAACGTGGACGTGGGGCGCTTATAGTGTCCGGGGGAGATCGCCAGTCCCACCCAAAAAGCCGGCGTGGCCGCTCTCACGCTTCTCTCTGTCCCTATAATGTAAATAGTAATCAGTCGATAGTAAATCGCATCACATACGTTACTTGCGATTCCTCTAAAATCCAGCTTTCCACTCGAAATAAACAAAACAAGGTAATTCAGTTTTTTAATTTAAAATAAAAAAGAAGACATACGATCGTAACACGCGCATGTATTCATACATGTATGCGCGTGTTGCGATCGTATGTCTTCTTTTTTATTTTCCTATCTAAAAAAGTACATGTAAAGAGATCGGAAGAGCACACGT